TTTTAAGATTATATATTAAAATACATGCATTCACAATTGAAGTGGACACAACATTCTAGACATTCTTGTCTAATTTTTTTCACTTTCACTTTTTAAATTGTTTTTAATTGACATGTAAAAATTTTACGTATTCATGAGATGGTGTGATGTTTATACCTGTATACATTATGTGGTAATCAAAGTATTTAACATATACATCACATGATAAATTTATCATTTCCTTGGGGTGAGAACAGTCAAAATCCTCTCTTCTAGCTATTTTAAAATGCTTTGCTTACTAATTACCCTATTACTCAATAGGATTACAGAACTTACTGGGGAAGATCAGAGAAAAGTATAAGTATAATTTTTTAAAACCCATATTTTGTTATCCTCTAAATACTTTTTCTAACTATTTAATCATTCTTATTTCCTAAAGTCTGTTCTGAGCATAATATATATTACTAGGGGAAAAGGGATGCTGTACCTAAAGAAGTTGGAAAGTTGTGGGTTAAACAAAAATAAGGAGATTTATCTGAAGTTGTCTCAGAGAATGTCAGTGTGCATTATGAATCTTCAAAGCAGGGATATTTAACGCTTAATTTGCATTATGCATACTTCATTAGGACCCCCTTTTCTCGAGGTCTTCATTCTGCCACAACTTACCACCTACTTTACGTCAGATTCTGCTGTTTGAAATTACCAAGTTGTGACAGTATGGCTCCCTATTGTATTCATGGTGAGAGTGTATTATTGATAAGAGTGAGGTGAATTTTTTTTTATTGGTGCTAGCTTAGAGATGAGTGTTTGCCAACTTTGAAAAAAATCATTGATCTGCAGTTACGAGTATAACAGATAGTATGAGATGGAATGAAATGATTTAACTGTTTACCTGCCCTTCTATTAGGAATTCTTATTAAAATTACCATTACTTGGTAAACTTCAGAGCAGTTTACAGACTTCCTGGTCTCAGAACCTCTACACTAATAACAATTATTGAGATTCATTTGTTTCTGTGGATTATCTGTTGGCATTACATTTTAGAAATGTAACATTTGACATGTTAGAAACCTATTAAATACTAACAAACTCCTCATGTTAATATAAGTAACATAATTTGTAAAACAGGTTTGCATTGTTTTACATTTTTGTGACTCTTTAATGTTGGCTTAAAGACTGAAGGTCCCGTATATGCTTTTGCATTTAATCTGTTGAGATATATGTGACCTCTGGCAGTCTCTGTCATATACTAATGAGGAAAGAGTGAAAATCAAATGATATCTTGGTGTTTTTCAAACGTTTTTCCTGCAGAATACCTAGGGGTTCCCAGAACATAGTGTGAGAACAATTGAACGAAAGTAATTGAGTACTGTGATGAGACATATTATGAATGTGACAGCTGAATATAAAGTGACAGCGTATTTTTCTAATTTACTTCTGCTTACATTATGTGAATATTGTCTACTTACTGAAAGATAATAAAAATTTTTCATATTGTTTCAAATACGAGCATAAATTAGACTGTTTTGGAGTTCTTAAAATGTTGATTTATTTTGTAGTTGAAACTTTGTTTAAAGTATCAGTTGTAATTTGGCTTTCTGAAAGGTTTTTGGTAAATGAGAAAATTAAGCATAGATGTTATATCAATGTCGGTAAATTTTATAATGAGAACATAAACTTGTCACTTATGTTAATTCTTAATTATTCTGGGGATTTTTTATAACATCTAAGTCTGAAAATATTAATTAAAATTTAGTTGGATGAGTCTTTGCTTAAAATTTTTGAAAATAAAATGATAAATTGGTATATACCAAATAATGCTATATATTTTTAATTATTCACTTGGCATTGACCAGCATCTGTTAATTTATAACTTGTTACATTAGGTCACATTAATGTTTAATATTTTATTTCTTCTCAGTGGTTAAGGTAACTTACTTTATCCTGTGAGTCAAGTGATTACACAAAATGTGACCTTCCCCCTAAGTAAAACAAAATTACATATTTTTAAAAGTATGTTTTGTTTAACATAAAGACATATTATGTTACATAGCAAATACTTTTGTCTTTCATATAATAGGTGAAGTATTATAGACATCTAGCACCTGATCACTTACTGCAAATATGTCATCGACTAGGACCTCTTCTTGAACAAGAAATTCCTCAAAGTGTTCCTGGAGTACAGACTTTGTTAGGAGCTGGAAGACAGTCCTTGCTGCGCACAAATAAAAGTAAGAAAATTTTCCAGTAGGATGTATACATTCTTTTTGTTTTTGTGTCCTGTGTTTGTATGCATAAAAATATGTATGTTTAATAGGCTGCAAGCATGTTGTGTGGAAAGGATCTGCTCTGGCTGCGTTGCACTGTGGAAGACCACCTGAGTCACCAATTAACTATGGTAGCCCACCCAGCATTGGTGAGTTGTTCTATGTACTTAGGGAAAAAAAAGGGGGTTTTTTTGTTGCTATGATATCAGGTAACTTTGTACATTAACATTCAATTTTTTAATAGTTTTAATAACAAGTCATAATGTGTAATTATGGAATATATGCATTGTTCCTTATGTAAACTAGTTCATTAGTGTGTTTATTATTTTAAAAATTTGTTTATAAGTGGGTATGGTGGTACATACTATAATCCCAGCACTTGGGAGGCTGAGGCAAGAGGATCACCACAAATTCAAGGCCAACTTGAACTACATAATGAAACCCTGTCTCAAAAATAAAAAATTGTTAGTAAAATGTATAGTCTTAGAAGGAGTTAGTTGACAATAGTATTACAGTTCTAATAGAAAATAAAAGTAGTTTTGTTATCTTAAGAAACATTGCATATGTTGTCTAGAAAGTTTTTAAGAAAGAATACTGTTACAAATAGTTCTTCCTCTTAAAATGCTTCCAGATCCATCCCTTTCAGGTTTGCTCCTACCAGACCCTTACAGCATCCTCTGAACTAGATCTCTTGGCTTGTTGTTTTCTCCCTTTCTCCTTTTTAGTATACTATGTAACTCTAATTTTATTTAATTCTTCATTGCTGTGCTGCTCCTCTGCTCAAGGGAACATTTTAATGGTGCTGAACTTCACTGACTATGAAGACAATGCCTGAATTTTAGAGACCTTCATATTTCAAATATGGCCTCTATCTGCTTCTGTCTTCCTGGCTAGCCAGGAATGTTACTCTCTGCCTTTCGTCTAACTCTGAATCTTTTTCTGGATACTTAATATACTGATAGTCATTACAGTTTTGTATAACTTTTGTTTAGTGTTTACTTATGTACGGTTTTACTTTCAGCTTTTTCGAATGCTTTTATTTTGCATATCTCTTAAAAATACCATAGAGAAGTAGACTCTAACCAACTTATGCCAAAGGTTGCAATTTTTGAATTTTTGCATGAAATTCATATATGCTACCTAGAAAAATTTACGGAACAAGAATTTTAAGAGGAGTTTTATTAATCTACATTCTACCTGTTACTCCTTTGAAATTATCTTTTTTTCTGGTTACTTTTAAGATTTTTCTTTCTCTTTGATTTTCTGTGGTTTGACTGTAATGTCTTGGTGTCAGTATCTTCTATTAATCTTGTTTCAGCTTTATTAGACTTTTTTCTGTGATGTGTTCTGGATCATTTCCTCTGACTCATTTTCCAGAAGTATCCTATGTGATATTTGCATTGTCAAATAATCATAAATGAGCACTGTTTAAAAATGCATGATTGTCCTGATTAAGCAGTAATTTCAGCATATAATTTTACTATATGGTGAACACCCATTAAAACAAAAGATTAGTGGCACCAGGGTATATTTGCACTTAGAAAATTATACTTGAGAGTTACAGTAGATTTTCCTGAATGAAGGGGAAGACAAAATTTTATAGGCACTTTCTCCTGTAGGAAAAGTTTATTCTGTTTTTGAAAAACTATAAATCCATATAATGTGAGTATGTTGTGCTCACAACACATTGTCAGGCAGCACTGTGGTAGACAATGAAAGTGTAAGAATGATTGATGATACTGGCTGTGTGAATAATTACTGTGTGCCAGGCACTATTCTAAGCTTTCTTCATGTTCTCTTTTAAAACCTTAAATAGTCTGTTGGGAGGAGCTACTCTTGTTTTTCAGGGAAGGAAACCAAAGCATGGAAGTGTTTGGTCGTTCAGTGAGACAAGAAGCTAGGATTCAGTGTGGACTGTCTGACTCCATTATACTATGTTTTATTCTCAACTAAATGTTCTAGCAATTGACATACTCAGCAAAATTAATGTTAGTCAGGTTGGAAAAAAGATAACTACATATCAGTAAAATATTTTAACTCAGGTCAATGATATTCAGATGAGTAGATAAAGGGAAAACTAAATATGGATCCAGGCTTTTGTGTCAAGCATATAAAAGTGCTGGGCATGGGTGGCACACACCTGTAATCCCAGCACTTGGGAAGTTGAGGCAAGAGTATTGCTGTGAGTTTGAGGCCAACCTGGGCTACATAATGAGTTCAAGGCCAAGCAGAATTGCATAGCGAGACCCTGTCTCCAAAAAAAAAGCATATAAATGTGACTGATTCATTCAGATAATAAAAATTAATTGCCAAGCTGGTCATTGTTTGTACCTTTCTGAAAGACTATTTCATTTTTAGGATTTAAAATTTTCTTTTTTCTTTCATATTTTCAAGAAAATCTTTATATGGAAATACCTATACTAGAATGCCAATTTGCCTACCTTTTTTTCCCCTAACTTTAAAAATCATGTTTACATAGTATTTTCTGAAATTGTGAAAGAGAAGCTGGTCTGATCAAAATGTCTGTGCATATAGAGTCATTAAGTGTTATGGCGTACAGATTTGTACAGTTTTGTCTAAAGTTGCGAATACATCTGATAGAAAAATACTTATCATGCTCCTTTTTTGTGGGCTTTTTTTTAGTAGTACATATTTGCCATACATAACGATCACCTTCATCATCGGGAATTTGTACCTGTACATAATATATATTCTTTTTTTTCCTCTTCTCCCCTACATGCCTTTTTCCCCTTCTGATTTATAAAAGCTCTGTTTCCATTTTTTTTCTTTCTGGAGTGTGATGGAATTGCAGTGTTTTGATTTGCATTTCTCACATGACCAGTGATGTTGAACATTTTCCCATGGATTTTGTTTGCTGTTCATACTTCTTCACTTGAGAAATACCTGTTCATTTCAAATGCTCATTTTTGGATTGGGTCTTTGAATTTGGAGGATCTGATTTTTTTTTTTTTTTGAGTTCTTTATATATTGTAGATATTAGTCCTTTGAGGAGTAGCTGGTAAAATTTTTTTCACATTCTGGGAGTTGTCTCTTCACCCTGTTGATGGTTTCTTTTGCTGTGCAAAAACTTTTTAATGTGATGTGTGATCCCAGTTGTTAATCCTTTGAAATATTTCCTATGCAATCAGGGTTTTTGTTCATAGTCTTTTCCTACACCAATGTCTTCAAAAGTTTTACCTATTGTATCTTCCAGCAGATTGTTTCTGTTATAATATTTAGATCTTTGATTCATTTCAATTTTAGTTTATTACATGGTGTCAAATATGAGTCTAGGTTCAATCTTTGGCATGTGGAGAGCCAGTTTTCTCAGCACCATTTATTAAAGATGCTATCTTTCAGTGAAGGTGTTTGTCCCCTTTGTCAAAGATAAGGTAGCTAGGGCCAGGGATCTAGCTCAGTGGCGCCACACTTGACTGGCAAGCGCAAGATTCTGAGTTCAATCCTGGTACTAGGGAAAAAAGTAAAACAAAGATAATAAGGTAGGTGACTGTGCTTGAAGTTGTTTCTGCATCTTCTGTTCCATTGATCTTTTGAGTGTGGTCACCTCCTCCCCCAATACCATACTATTTTTATCACTGTAGTTTTTTTTGTTGTTTTTTGACAGGGTCTTACTATGCAGTTCAGGCTGGCCTTGAACTCATTATGTAGCTGAAGCTGGCCTGGAACTCGCAGTGATCCTCCTGCCTCAGCTTGCCAAGTGCTGGGACTACAGGTGTGCACCACCATGCCCGGCATCACTGTAGCCTTGTAGTATAACTTCAAATCAGGGATTGTGATGCCCCCTGCCTTGCCCTTGTTCCCCAGAATTGCTTTGCTATTCTAGGTCTCTTCTGGATACAAATGAATTTTAGGATCATTTTCTGTAGGTCTGTAAGGAATGCTATTTGTATTTTTACGGGCGTTGCATTAAATCTGTGTCACAGTTTTGGAAATACGGCCATTTTCACTATATTGGTTCTGCCTATTCAAAGATAGGGAATGTCTTTCCATTTTCTGATATCTTCTTTGATCTCCATTTTCAGAGTACTGTAGTTTTCAATGTAGAGATCTTTCACTTTCCTGTTTCATTTTTCTTAATGCTATTGTAAAGATGTTTCCCTTCTCTCTCAATGAGTTTGATACTGGTATACAGGAACACTATTGAGTTTTGAGTGCATGCTACTGAATTTGGTTGTACAGATAGTCTCTGGCATACTGATCCATTTTGTCATTTCAAAGTGTTAAGAGGTCAGAAGACTTTCTTTTAATTTTGAATGTTTATTGTATTGACTTGTTTCTTTTGTTGATTCCTCTTGGCCATTTTTTACCTGACTACCTTTAAGAGATTTCTTTGCCCTTTCTTTGGTTATTTTGACATTACCAAGTAGAAATGGAAGTAAGAAAAAAATTAACATTTTAACTTGTGATACAGATTTAAATGTTTGCTATAGATTCCAAATATTGAAACTTGACACATTTGGGATATATTTTTAAATAAACTTACAATTTTGAAGTAAGAAATTTACTGAAAAGTTGCACAAAGTTCAAAGAACTGTTATATCTTCCTCTTGGGGTTCTCCTAATGTAATTTTATTTACCTAGTATATTTTTCAAAACTACTAAATGAACATTGACATATTACTATTACCTAAACAACAAACTTTATTCATATATCACCAAGTTTTTCCACTAGCTGTATGTTCTTGTTCCAAGGTCCAGGCTGGGACATTTTGCACTTACAGTTTGCTCATTTTTTTATTGTTGTTAAATTTCTTGTTATAATTAAAGGATTATTTAAGACCAGGGCGGGAACTAAATTGGATTTTCTTGGATATTTTCTTAAACTGTATGTAAACTGTTGGATCTCCCTCTTATATTTCACATTTGCCTCAAACTAAAATAGAAATTAACTCTCTGAAACTTACTATTCAAGATTGAAGCCTGAAGTCATTTTATTTTAGACTTACTATTCATTTAAGTCTATTCAATAAAAAAGAAATGTTTATTTTCTTCTACTCTTTTGAGTCTGTTCTCCATAACCATTGTCACAGCTGTATTTCAGGCCTTGGTACTTCTTGCCTGGAGTTCTACCTCATTCACTTACTCATCAAGTAATTGTTGAGTTGCTGAATTCATATTTGGCACTGGG